AAATAAACCAAATCCGACTCTTTCGTTCAACTCTTTATAATACGTAGACACATAAACATAAAGTAGATTTAGTTGGTAAAGTATTTATTTATAGGCAACATGATTTGACTTACTTTATCTTTTTTATGAATTAGTGTTCTTTTTGTAATATTTTTGTTTGAAGTTTTGTGTTTCTTCCTATAATGGGAGAAATGAGATTGAGAAATGAGAGAATCTTGGTGATCGAGTTTCTAAAAAATGTATATTCGGTGTATGCTTTTTTATTTGTATTGATGTTAGTTTCGAATTGAATTCGTGATATTTTTAAGTTGGATTGTTAATGCCTTAGCTGCTTTGCGTTCATTTTCATGTTTTTTATTTGTTAGATTTGATTTTTAATGTGTAGTGCTTAGTGGGCACTCTCAGCACAACACATAAGAATGACACATCTACACGGAAAACAAACACTTTGAGCCCTTGAAGATGATCTCAATAAAGGTCGAAACGTTGGCATGATAAAGAAGATGTTTTTTCCAAAACCTACTTCACACCAGAAAAGGATACTAGGTACATAGCATACCATACCACACCAGACCGCATCTCACGATCTCCGAATAATCAATGATAGAGTATCGAGTAATGTACCACCACAATTGTGTAAATAATAAATAATGTATTTAAGCGTAAGTGGGTTTAGATTGAAAAAATCGTGAGTTTGGGGCTTCGGCGGCAGAGCGGATAAGACCGATGTCAAACCTAGGACTGCTAAAACCTTTTGTTTGCCCAGTTTCTTCGCCCATATTGGGCTCTTTCAACACGACAGACAAGAATGACAAATCTACACGGCAAACAAATTCTTTGAGCCCTGAAGATGATCTCAATAAAGGTCGAAACGTTGGCATGATAAAGAAAATGTTTTTCTAAAACCTATGTCACACCAGACCGCATCCCACGATCTCCGAATAATCAATGATATAATATCGAGAAATGTACCACCGCAAATGTGTAAATAGCAAATAATGTATTTAAGCGAGAGTGAAAGGGTGAGTGGGTTTAGATTGAAATACTGCATGAGTTCGGGGCTATAATGATCTAAGCTCTTGACAGCCTAACTTCGTCGGCAGAGCGAATTAGACCGATGTCACACCTAGGACTGCTAAAAACCATTTATTTGCCCATTTTCTTCGCCCATATTGGGCACTCCCAACACGACAGACAAGAATGACACATCTACACGGAAAACAAACACTTTGAGCCCTGAAGGTGATCTCAATAAAGGTCGAAACGTTGGCACGGTAAAGAAAATGTTTTTCTAAAACCTATGTCACACCAGACGGCATCTCACGTATAAATAATCTTTGATTTTTAATGTCTTCATATTTGTTTGCATGTAAGCGCGCCAAAATTTGTCATTTTTATTTAGCTCTAGTGCTCTTATGCACTACTTTACACTTTTATTGAAATTATCTCGTCTCATCGTCAGATCGTATAGTCGAATTGACACCTAATCCGCCACGGATTAAAAGACGATTAGAGGTTAAAAGTCGATTTATCATTTTTTGCCTTCTGACGGGAGGGGTCAGAGCGAATCAATAACAAACCAGGCTCGCACTAACTCAATTATGACCGGAAAACTTTTGAACAGGTTGTTTCTTTGTAATAACGCTCAATTATGAAGTCATTTCGGTCGGATCAGTCACCGAGAGCAAAAATCTTTCATGTAGCCTTTCATCATAAAATAAATACAGTGTATAATAAATAAATTATCCATAACAAGCAAATAGCACAAAGTTCAACCTTGTTTTAATTAAATCGGAAAAACTACTAAAACAATTATTTAATAAAGAATGCTTTTCTAACTGGAATGAATTTTTTTGTATATTTAGGTACAATAATTAATTGTAGGTTTCGTAAACTTGCAAAGAACTTCGAAAAAGACTTTGCTAAAAGCTGCGAATTTATGTAGATCGTGATCGGATTTAACTATCTAGTCTTTAAATTAGCTGGATCCCGTGTTATAAGTTAAGAGGGATGGATGCGGTTGGATGTGTATTGTCGTTCCAGCACCCGTCCCGTCGTTAACCCCCTGCCACCCCACAAAAGAGTTTTTGCATAAAGGATACGGTAGCTAGCGACCCCCTGACATCCTTTTTTCATGTATATCCGATTCCATACATACATTATAACCGGGCACAGTTATCGGGTCCCCAACCCCTCTACAACCCTTTAATTTTCTACCCTATTCAAATCACTTTTTTTCCCCAGCCCTTGCACCCCTGGAACGACCCCCGACGTGGACTGACACTGTTTTTTTCTCACCCCTAACTATCTCACCCTACCCAGAGGCCCAAGTCGAGTGTGAAAAACTACCGGGTTTCCTGTTTTGCATTTCCTTCTCGGCCAGATGCTCCGCGCTCTCTCTCTCTCCCCGCCGATTCCCACCCCTTTGGGGACGTATATTTAACATTTTTGTACGGATGTCTTCCCAAACGACCAGGCAGCTGAGGAGACCCCATCAATAACTAGTCTCACCTCTCTTGTCATTCAATAACACAACCAATTATTTCTATTATTCATAGAAAGACGCCTCTATTGTCGACTCTTTTCACTCTGTATAAACACAAAGTCGTTTGAATCGAATAATGTCGAAACGCTTGATTTATGGAGTCGGCCCAAATGGAAATTTGATTTTCATTATGGGATTCATTCTTACTGAAATATTGTCTCATGTATCGCCGAAAAAAACTTCGACGTGAGCTCTACTAATTTTTAACGGTTTTCAACCCTCCCAACGAACACCAATTTACAGAGGATTTTTTTCCGTTTTAATATTCAAATTTGATTTCCAAATCATTGTCACCTTAAACAAGTCACACATTAAAAAAAAAGGTTTTAATGGGTTATGACTTATGACTAACTAACTGACTAATTATTCTAGCGCTGATAAGTTTCTACGAAAATACAGTGACTTACAAAAGTAAAAAAAGAAATATAGAAAGGAAGAAAAAGAATGAACGAGAGAGAGAGAGAGAGAGAGAGAGAGAGAAAGAGTAAGAGAAAGAGTAAGAGAAAGAGAGAGAAAGTGAGAGAGAGAGAGTGAGAGAGAGAAAGAGAGAGGGAGAGAGAGTGAGAGAGAGAGAGAGAGAGAGAGAGAGAGAGTGAGAGAGAGAGAAAGAGTGAGAGAAAGAGAGAGAGAGAGAGTGAGAGAGAAGAAAGTGCATATAAACAAGGAAAAGAGGAAAAAGCAATATAAAGTGAGCAGCAAAGAAGGAAAGAAAGAAAGAAATATAGATAGATAGATAGATAGATAAATGCATAGATAGATAGGTAGATAGATAGATGAAAGACAAAGAAAAAGGAAGAAAGAGAAAAAGTGGGAGAGGGAGAGAGAGAGGGATGTAGAGAGAAAAAGAGAGATCTAGATAGATAGATAGATAGATAGATAGATAGATAGATAGAGAGAGAGAGAGAGAGAGAGAGAGAGAGAGAGAGGAGAGGAGAGAGAGTGAGAGAGGGGGAGAAGAAATTGCGTATAATCAGGGAAAAGAGAAAAAAAGCAAAATTAGGTGAGTGAGTAACAAAGATGGAAAGAAAGAATAAATTTAGATAGATGGTAGATAGAGAAAAATAAAGAAAGAGAGAAGTGGGGAGAGGGAGAGAGGGAGAGAGAGAAAGAAGATAGAATGAAAGAGAAACATAGAATCAAGGGTGGCACATCAAATTAAAAACCATGAGATAACGATTTATAATACTGTAAGCTAAACATTGATTATAGTAAAAAAACCAAATAATTTAAAATCAACTAGTTAATGCCAAAAAAATGTAATGATACATTGCACTATTTGTTATTTTAGCCCAAATTATGACCAAATCACTCAACCAATCAATTCCGACCACGTTGAATTTTTTTCATTTATAAAATTCTATCACATCTAAAAAAAACCTCTATGAGAAATAAAGAATTCCTTTAATTTGATTGAACATATCTTTTTTTATGTTAAAACACAATCCACTAAATAATTTTGCTGACCAGATTTTACCGATAAAATAAAATAGATAAATTGATGAAGAAAGAATGATTGATAGATAAACAGATAGAGAGGGCAAGAAAGAAAGAGAGAGAAAGAAAGAAAGAAAGAGTGAGAAAGAGTGANGAGAGAGAGAGAGAGAGAGAGAGAGAGAGAGAGAGAGAGAGAGAGAGAGAGAGAGAGAGAGTGAAAATGATAGTAGCAAGTGAGACAATGTTTATTAATTTTAGAGTTTATAAGGGGAGTGGAAAAGGGTGAATAAAATAGACAGTTGTTAGGGGTGGTGTTTATTGTAGTTTGGTGTTTCCCTTCAAAGGTTTTAATCTGTCGGAAAATCCCTCAAAATACACTAAGTACCTATGATTTTTGTAGTCAGTTTATCTAAAGATTAATAATGATTTGAATTACAAACCCGTAGTTTCCTTAATCGCCCAACTCTTCCAATTCATGGAAAGTTATATATAAGTCGCCAACGCCGTTTTTTAAATTCGCCTCCCTCATAAACAAAGAGATCTTTCCGACTCCACCTTAGATAAGCCCGAGAGTAAAGTAATCGGGGTGGAGCCGGTGATTTGTGATTGCAATTGATTCAAGTCGAGAAAGGGCCAGCGGGTAAGCCCCGGGTGAGTATGATTTATTCCGTTGGAAGATCCTTTCACGGGGAGAGAGTGGGGTTCTAAATCTTGTCTCCCTTCACGAGCGATTTCCCATCCCAGGTACACTTTCTCATGGAGATCTCATGGGAATTAGGGTGATCAAAAGGAAAACAGGGTTGCCCGATGGATGAGAGGTCCATGGAAACCTTTCGACATTGTCTCACTGGTGGTGATTTGCAGAAAACCAAACCCATTTGTCAGTCTGATCCGGAAAAAGCCTGACTTGCCGGATTTGGAAGGGTTAAAAACTTGTCGTTACATTTTTTAACCTTTTATCCTCAAAACCGGTGCTTACTTACTACTAGATTGTGATTGTTCTTAATCTCAAACAACTTACACTTTTTCCTGGATTCAACTTTAACTTTCTAACTGGTATGGCAATTTTCAAGTATGTAGCTTATGTCAGTTTTGGGCCCACAGAGTCCATTGCTCACCAACCATCTTATCTATGAAATAAATTACATTACAAACTTTTTTTTAAAGAAAAATTATAAATAATTACATACTATTATAAATAATTACATAAATTTTTGTTATGATGAAATCATCCTTTGTGCTTTGTAAGTTCATGTATCTGCGGTAAATAGTTGTTTGGACATTTCTGATCCAGATGGGATGGGAAGACTAATCTTCGCTGTTTTGATCAGACTTCAAGATTTGTATGATTTTTGTTGTTTCTTCGGTTTACTTTTGTATGTACGCCATGAAAGGTAATGAAAATATTTTCTTTGCACTTCTTGGATTTAGCCTGGGGCTTGTATCATATAAGGAATCTACGGATTAAATATTGAACGTCAAAATTTGGGTCCGTTTAGCCTCGTTCTTTATTTTTCTAAAAAGCAGAAAACTATCGTGTCAGTTATTCACAATATATCTAATTTAATGTGTATTAAATAAATAAAATAGTTGTAAAGAGGTTTTTGTATTTTAGGACTATAAGAGGTGCATTCTTCTTTCGAGGGAAGTTTGAAGAGAACGGGTAAAGAACTTAGTACTGCTTTCCCTACTTTACTAAGTTTAATCTATGTTGCTCATTCCTTGATTTAAAGTGATGATCAATCAATGAATTTTTCCAAATCTCATCGGCATTATCTCATTTTTTTCTGGTGCGAAACCCTATTCGTGATGCCCTTGTTGGGTATGAAAAGGTCCTCCGGGCCGGCTCAAGGATCCGTGAAGATGGAAAATTATCGATAAAGCCCCAAGGCGTCGGAGGGCGACCGGCTGACTCCACTGCTAATGATAAAAAGATATCCATCCCATTCACCTTTTCAAGAGGCTTAGCTCAGATATTGTGGAAACACGCGTCCCCTATCCGCAGCAACGCCCCTCTACCTGCTGCCTTTGTCGCCTTCCCATAAAAACCAACCCTCACGCCTTTTTTTTCCCTTCTTTTTAATACATATGTATGTGTACACAAACCGGCACAACATAAAACTGTGTCATTTAAACTCTCTTCTAGCCCGGCAGACCCCAAATTTAATCCCATTACCCTCGAATTGAGCTCGGTAGTATTATGAGGATGATTCGAGAAATGGGATTATTTTACAGCCCCCCATTTCTATCATCCCTCTCGTTAAATGAAATGAGCGTTGTTAATATTATTATTCAAAACGTTAATAATCGTATTGTTACATCATTTCCTGCCAAGTCATTTTGTTTTATTAGAGATCAATGCACATGTACGCATGCATACGGTAAAATCTAACGTTGCTCCTTTGTATCAAAATTACCGGAAATAGTCTGCAATTCTTCAAAATTTCTACATTATATATATATAGTTATATTCATTTTTAAAGTAAAAAAGCAGAAAGTAAATGCAACATATCCTACGAAAAGCAAAATACCGAAAGGCGCCAGAATTACGGAAACAGGGGAGCAGTTCAACATAATCAGAAACGACTATGCATACAAAAAAAGAAATATTAGACAACGAATATACTAGAGTTCTTTAAATCGTAGTTAGACAATTTTTTCAATGAAATTTTAGGTTTTTGGAATATGTTGTATAATTGTTTCAGATTCAGTTTCACATTTGTGATTGGTAGCTAAAGAGAACTTCGACAATGAAATATTCCTACTGTATAACTTTCCTTATGGTGTTAGCTAACTATACAGCGTCAGGATTTTTATTAGGCTCTAATGACTTTGACACTAGCTCCTCCTATTTAGTTTTCCTTTGCTGTTGCGTAGAATCCTTTCCTTTATTAGGCTTCCACAGTACCATATTGCACAATTGCCACGCTAGCAGTTCTGGGTTCGAATACCAGAATTTTAACATTTTTAATAATATGTATAAAGTATTGTAAATTGGTTTGATCTTTCGTATACAACACGCTACATGTAAATAGGTCATTAAGAAGATATGTGTGACATATATAGTATATATTGCACCAACATAAAATATGCAAAGTGGGTTTCCTTCTCTTCATCTCAAAAATATTCTCAATTTTTTCATATTATATATATGAATGATTCTCAATATTATTGTATTAATACTAAATTTTATCAGCCTCTATTAAATATATAAATACTCAATTAATTATACACAATTTTTTTCGAAATGAAAATTTGTGTCACAGGCGGGATTCGAACCCACGACTTTCGGCTCAATACGCCGCTGCTCTACCACTTGAGCTACCGTGACTTCGATCGCCCATGCCACAAACTTCTCATTTCGACTATCCGATTTTATTCTAATTATAAGCAAATCACTGCTTCATATAGAAACACTTTTTATTAACGATTATACTAGATTAGCGGGACTGTGTACGATTCACAGGTAGGATTCTAGATTAATACTAAATTTTATCAGCTTCTATTAAATATATAAATACTCTATTAATTTCATTTCGAAAAAAATTATGTATAATTAATTGAGTAATTATTGTATTAGTACCTTTTTACAGACATGCAGCGATCTTTGGGCTTGTCTTTTACTGCAAGCGGTTTGATGTATGTTTTGATTTAAGTTATAAATAAGGGGCGTCGGTGGCCGCAACGGTTTAAGCGTTGACACGGCGCTCATCACTGTAAGGTAAAGGTCCCGGGTTCGAATCCAGCGGCCCTGCATTCGAACCCGACATACTTACAAATGGCACCTGCTGCCTGAGGGTTGATATAACCTCTGCTATTGCAAACCCTCGTAAAAAAATAAATAAATAATAAAATAATCGTTATGAATAATGTAATATACTTCATTCTGATAGGTAACAATTTTTAACCAGGCTGAATGTATCCACCCAAAAGTGGATGAATCAGATGCAAAGGATAGCAGCACATAATTGTCAAACTTACTTGACTTACCATTTCTGTACCATTCCAACTTTTCCGTTATGTTAAGGGATTTATTATCCTCAACATCGTACAATTGGTTTAAAAAATTTAAACAAATAAATTGTATAAAAAAATATTCTAAATTTCGGTAGAAATAAAAGCGAATTACAAATGTAGAAGTTAGGGTGGACGACGCAAACCCGCATACCATTCTGCTCTTTTTTTTATATCGGTTTGAAAATTTGCAGAAGAATTCTGCTCGCCTGTCGTAGCTGAGGAATCTGGTTAGTTTATCAGCTCTTTTAATCTGTGTTTCCTGTCAAATAGTCAGGTTGTTCCTTCTTATTTTCGCGCAGTACATTCATGACGTCTTATGCTGAACGTAATCTTACCTCATGTGTTACACTGGGCACACTTGGCTTTCAGAGTAGTTGGGTGTTTGTCTTTTATTACCTTCTCTTTTGAGCAGATATCAATTAATACGATTTCGGTCGAAATAAAGGAGGATTCTCCAAGGGAGATCCTGCAAATATCGACTCTGATGATTTTCGGGTTTTTGAGCGGTACGTGTGCCAAATAGTCAGCGTTGACAAATGACTTTTATAGTAATATAATTTGGCATTTCTTTGCAAGAAATTATGACGTCTAACGGCATACGTTTTATAACTAATTCTATCTTGCTTTTCATTGGTTGGCTTTGTTAGTTGTTATATTGTTCTTGAAAAATAAGAACTGTTCACAATAATGGAACAACAGCTTGCATTAAGGAGTGCGCCTGAAGCAAATCGGTGATATTTGTAACGTGTAAAAGCATAGGATGCAAATGGCAGGATGACAAAATGAAACCAATATATGTAAATTTTCATCACATTTTGTTTTTCGTTGATTTTTAAACATAAAAACTGTCCAATAGCTTTATTATTATGTAATTTGTTAGCTTTTCCTAGATGTGTTGCTGCAACAATGAATAAAATTGAATCAATGATACAAAACGATTTGGTCCTATTTATGTTAATGAGCAAAGTTGTAGTGCAATAAGGAGGCATAAACGTGCTTTGAAATAAAAAAAGGGGAATTTCTAGGTGCACCTGCAGCCCTTAACGCTAGCAATATTATATACTTTTTCCCCGTCGAAATGTTTTTATGAGAGGCGGCTGAGTCTTTCTGGGAAAGCGCGGTCGGAGCTACGCTTAAGAAAGACCGTGGAATGGAATATATTTGTAAGCGCATATAATCCCTTTAGGATTCCGAGTGAGTGTAAAAGGATGTAAAATAAGTTAGCAGAGGGAAAGGGCGGGGGCGCGCGGTGACGAATGGGGTGAAGGAGGGTTATGGGGAGCATGTTGGAGGAAAGAAAACGTTGAATATTAACGTGACTTGGCTGGTCCGCTTCCAGCACTCCAGGCCTCCGACATGTGGATAGACAATGTACCAGCCCCGACTATTCCTGGCAAACCGAGCGTTTCCAGCATTAGCATACCAGACCGCTTGGCGGCGGAAAAGAGTGGGACGGTGCGGAGCTGAGAATTTTCGCCGGACCGATTATTATGCAAATTTATGAATTACTCTCTTAAACTTGCCTTTTGCCCAAATATATGTACAATCTACTCTTTATCTGTAAGGAAGCGGGTGAAAAACGTATCTTTGTTCGCTTCAAGGCTAATAGTATATATTTACGAACAGAACGCAACGGTATTAAAATGAGGTTGTTTATTTTCTCCTTTATGCTCAAAAGATGACTTTTGTTTACGCAGTGTGTCAAAAGCTTTTCTTATGATTTTATAAATGTAAAAGTTTTATAGTCAATGCCAACAGTCATTGGTGTACGAATGAAGAAGGAACTGAGAGGTGGAGAGTGGTAGGTAAATAAATAGAAAGGCAGATAGAGGAGAGAGAGAGAGAGAGAGAGAGAGAGAGAGAGAGAGAGAGTGCGGGAAAAGTACTGTGATTTTTTGAAGCTATCTCAGCAAAAATATTTTTGAAAACAGTGGGAGATTTGGCATTTTTGACATCTGTGAGCAATTAATTATCATTTTTACTTAGTCTGTGATGAGGAAAGAATTTATGGAAGTTCATAAAAATGGTGATAAAAAGAATCTTCTTGGAAACAGACTTGCAGTAATCTTTCTGCCTTTTGTTTACGCATAGTATCAGATTAAGCAACTTTTCTTATGATTTTATTATAAATGTAAAAATTTTGTAGCCAAAGCCAACGGTCATTGGTGTAGGAATCCGAAGAATGAACTGAAAGGTGAAGAGTGATAGGTAAATAAATAGATAGACAGATAAAAAGAGATAAAGAAAGAGGTAGAGGGATAGAGAGAAAAAGAGAGCGATAGAAAAAGGAGAGAGAGAGAGAAAGAGAGAGAGAGAGAGTGAGAGAAAGAGAGAGAAAGGGAGAAGGAAAGCGCTGTGATT